CTCTTGTCGCACCACCGGGCACATCTAAGTTTATTCGGACTTGAGATTCGTTACCGCCTCAGTCGTTTTGCGAATGGCTTTTTCTTCTAAAAGCATTAATGCGTTCAAACAATTTATTTCCCACTAGGCGGATGCGTTACCACAGTGTGCCTTGCTCCCCGTCCCCAGGACTCTTTCATCTTGCCATTAATGGTTGGATAGTTCCGCTGAGGAAGGCGAAGTTTCACCATCATTAAGCAAAGTTTAAGAGCGGTTTTATTTTCGTGGAAATCACTCCGTACAAGGCAGATGATAAGGTTCCCCTGATGATTTACAAAAATAGTAAAAACTTGCAGATTTCGCCTTTTTTTAAATAATTTCTTCTAAGATCCTTGCCGGATGAGCTCCCATGGGGTATTGGACTTGCTTGCATAGGAGAACCCTCTTGAACCCTTCAAAGATGTACATATGCAATGCTTGAATTGCATTTTTTATGTAAATAATATCATTTCTCGCTCCTGAGTGTGAATTGTTAACCCGGCAAGTGATATTAGTACTTCCAGCGGCCGCAATTCCTACTGTCATACGATTCCCAAACCATAAATTTCTGTGTTCGGGTTGTGAAAAGGGGATGGTTTCATTAAAATAAGACCTAATGTTCTGGTCTGGTTGATTAAAATGAATTTAAATTCTCTAGTCTTGTGTTTTTTTTTTATTTTCCACCCATAACCAGCAACTATGCAGAGATGATTCCAAAACTGACATGATGCTTTAAAAGCTCTACCAGTCAAGGCTTCCGTTGGCAAGCACGTCTTCCTAATTTACCGTTACTTGCTGGCAAAGAAAATAAAACTGCAAGGTAGACTGTAAAGTCTTTAATTTTAACTTCAATAATTTACTTATTTTGGATATCCTTCTTATTTTTAAGTTGTATAAGAACAGGACATATTAATAAATGTTGACCATCTCCTTTTATTTCTGGTCTTCGTTCTTGGAACTCGCTAAACTACGTACGTCTACACCGTATAAAATAAATGGAACCCAAATCTGCGTCTCTTGAAGTGTACCGACTAGGCGGGAAATGCTTTTTAAGGCGCAATTTACACCATATGCTAAATGTTACCACCATCCCATTAAGGCATCCGCTTTCCCTTCTTCCAAGTCATTAGCTTACTGCTAGCTGTCTAATCTTGCAACAATGATGCCAAATTACCTGTTTTTCTTTCACATCGCGGCCACTTTAGGTGAATTACCTTCCCTTTACGATGGTTTTGACAAATCATAGTTGTTTCGGTTTACAGGAATTTTGTAAATGAATAAGACTTTTCTGACCAGTAAGTGACATTTTTGGCTTAAAATCGGAATTTTAGGTTCGGAAAACAGTGCGAACCACACTGGCCAAAGTCGTATGTCCCTGCTGCTCACCGAGACCCCATCGAATGCTTCTACGCTGCACCTGCTGTGGTCTGATCAACCCCCAGTATCATGAGACGGGCATTACGAGTAGCCCTTGTGTGGGACAGGGTCAAAGGGAAAACGCACCTGGCTGTGCTTGTGCTCAAAATAGCTGCCGAACAGTGAAGTTTGACACGCCCTTACAATCGTGTAATCAAGTCGAATGTAACCAGATCTACGTAAGCCAACGACAATTGCTTGATTAGTTATTCTGTCTTAAAAGACAAATTGTTGCACCCGAACAATAACCCATTGTTCTCCCTTATAAATAGGTTGTTAAATAAGTTTTCTGCCAAAGATAGCTCCCCCGTTGAAATTCTCTCCTATTGGCTACAAAAATTAAAAGAAGTTTTCTGTTCATCAAGAAAAGAATTTCTCCTGCTTAATGCTTCACTGGATACAAATAATGCATTTCCCTTAAGGACCTCAAAATGAAAGCGCTTCAATGGCCTGCTCTTGTTTCCAGAGCCACAGCTTGTAGGTTATGTTATACCATGTTTGCAATTTTGTATTCAAAGGAACCATTAAACGGGTTCCTGAGGAGGGCTATAAACACCGTCACATTCATCACAAATTGCCTAAATATTTACTTTGCTAAATAATGCATGTGGTGTAGATAAAGAGTCTCCCTTGTTCTCCCCCTCCACTCTTCTCTTCTCACTTCCTCCACGAAAGATGGGGAGGTGGAAATAAGGACTTGCACTTATCTGCCTGCCTCATAGGATAATAAAGGCGCAATGGATCACTCGCCACAACAAACAATGCGACGCAATAGTGGACTGCAAAAATCGCGTGCTATGGATCACAATTGTACTACAACTGCAGTGGTGGTCGCCTCCCCAGTTGCCACGAGTCAAAAATATCCGCGGTATTGTCGCTCCCGTTACACCCCTTCCCCCTCCACTGACATCCAGATGTCGGCGTTACCATCACGACGAAAGAAACAGAGAGTCACCTTCTCCCATGGCAGTGGCCGCAGAACTTGCAGAAGCATCGAGACGGCGTTGTGTCAACACCATCCCCTTCCAGAACGGTATCTGCAAGTTCGCGAGGTGGAAATAGATGAAGACTTGAAGGATGGGGACGCGAGCTCCACCACGGCCACAGACAGCGATCTAAACTCCGAAATTGATGCCTACAGTCGGTTTCTCTTTCCCTGCTGCTTTGTCCTCTACAACTGCGCATATTGGGGCTTCTATTTGATCATCTCAGATCCCGGATTCATGACTTAGCACTCCTAACCTGTCCCGTTCCCCATCCTGCAATGCTCAATAGATCACTTTTGAAGGACGATTGCCAAAATTGCCTCCTCCTTCTACTCTCTTTGCGCTGATTTGTCTCCCCTTCTTCCACCTTCCCCTCCTCCTCCCCTCCTTATCACCTCTCCCCCTAAGTAGCACCTCTATTTTGTAAGCTTTAATGCATTTGTGAAGAGAGGAAATTAGGAAAAAAAGGTGTTCCCTTTTTCTTCAGCAGCTGTTTAAGAGACCCAATTTCCGTTAGGAGGATAAATGGAAAGGTGTTTCTTTTTACTCCAGTTGGAACTTGATTTTTAGTTTATCTCCAGCTAACCTTGTCAGAGTAATTAATTATATATCGATGCTATGGTTGGTTCTTCTAAACGCTACGGTAGCTTATTCAACTATTTTACAGCAAGGAAAGTGGTTACAAAAAGTGTTTTTAACAATTAGTTCAGTTAGGCTTTATGTTTTTGCAGTCGAAAAGTTGTTGTTTTTTGTCTCTTGGACATTTAGAACACTTAAAACCTTATTTGCATACAACATGAGCACGGTTGGCTACTCGATCATCCATTTCAATTGTTAACGTGAAGGAGTGGAGTAAAAAAAGATAAAACCCTCTATTAAACCATTTTTACACCTATCACAATGCCCTCACTTTAGGTCTCTTAAGCAACTTATTCACTTTTCGATTATAAATTGGCCTGTGAGGGCCGTCGTCCTTCTAGACGGGGTAAGACACGAGGTACCATGCTTTATCTCAGGATTTCAAAAAAAGGCCTATATTTGACATCAGTCATATTCAAACAGATATGTGACGCTGTACTTACAAAATATGATGGAATACCACAACCTGTTTAAAAAAAGTATTGTGTATTGACGATTTTTAAGTGCCTTAACATTTACTACTAGCGTCACATATATGTGACGCGCAACGTATCCATTTATTACTAACTAGTTACGCTAAATCTTTTTGTCATCAGTGGAGTGTTTAAGCTTGATCCAATAAAAACGCTAAATGTTCTTTGCCTGAGGAGGATGACAGTGGGTTTTTATATTTTGAGCAGCACTTATATTTGATAGTTCAAGCATTATTTGAATGTTGAAATAACCGTAAGGCTTTTGAACTGGGGGTGGTCAATTTGCCTCTAAAACTCTGACAGTGAAAGTGTTCATAAATGTAAGCCGGCACACTAGATAACTTTAAATGACAAGACTTGGTGATTAGCTTTTATAAATGGTTGTGGCTTAGCTGGAGATTTTATACTTTAAAAGTAGCCTTGAAGGCATTATTTTTCAAACTCCTTAAATTGACCACCAACTTTCCTTTTCGTGTCATCAAGTAACCCTATACTGCCCTTGGTATTAAATACAACAGAGGATTCGTGAAACCAAATCCCAATGACTCCCTCGGGGCTCCTGGATGTGCAGTACTTCCATCATCTGCACCGAGAGCGTTGAAATGATACCGTGAATGCTCATAATTAGCCTTTTTGCATTTCAAAGTAGTAATAAATAAAAAGTCAAGTTTATCACACTAAATTTTAAGCCCTTTTTCAAAACTGTTGTAATTTACACTAAGGGAGGGTGAAGTCTTTACAGACACACATAAAGGCGTGTCGGAACGAGATAGCAACATCCTCACGGCCGATAGGGTTTGGTAAAGAGCACCCACACACGAGGCAACTCTTTGTCTATTTGCGGTTTAAATGGGCCATTCTTTATGACCTTTTCATCAGTGGGATGGGCAAATAATGCAAGGAAATTTCTAAATGTCTAGTTTTTTTTGAAACCGCATCGAAAACGCACCTGCGTGGCCTTGGATTGGACTAACTTGGTCGCCTTTTTAATCCCCAAAACTAGCAGGAATCTGTGTGGTTGGGTACTAGTTACCACTGCTCCAAATTGGACTCGTCTCTTTTCCACGCATTAAAGCAAATTTCAATTATCCTTTGGTGCAGTAGGAGGCTAGGAAACCACTTCCACACTTGACAATGACAGTCATATGAAATGGCCTGCACATTGCAAGTAATTGTTCCGGCCAATGGATCTGTCACTGCTGCCTGAATGTCAACTTTTGCTCACACATTTCCATTTAAATGGAACTGGAAACCGTGGTCACCGGTAGTGCTTCTTCTTGTAAAATTGAGCACTGTGATTAATTTCTGGGGGGTTATTGTAAAGGGAAATAATTTACAGTTTGTCAAAAGTGAAGCTGGCAGTGAAACGGTGCTAAGTCACACCATGATTGGATTTGGTGACAAACTTTTACTTTCTTTGTAATTCAAGACATATTTACTCCGGCACAATCATAACAATCTCCTCGTTGGTTTAGCTTGAGACTTCCTAACTGACATTGCTTGTTTTGTGGGCCAACCTGCGTGCGTTCAGTCGTGAAGAATGTTCTTCCCATCACCAAATGTTTCCTTTGTTATTGTTCTTAGCTTCCTGCACTGCTAATTTCTCCAAAAGAACCATTTATTATAAAATTCATAAACTTAAAGCATCCACCATTAGGTAAGCCAGAGATAGAATGGAAGAGGAGGTGTCGATCTTCAGGCCTAACAATAGGAGGTGTTGGTCATTTCTTACCTGAGGATCAACTTTGTGAAATGCCAAGACCCCGCTCGGAGATGCGTCCTATTCTAGCGTCCATTCCTTGACTAATTTTGGGCCAGGTTTTCAAAAGCAGTTAAATGACCAGCTAGCCCATATTGTGCGATCGGTTGGAGTAAGTATAAACCTTTCAACAGAGCTAAAAAATAGTCTTCACCAAGTGTGGGCAACTGAAGCGCGTTATTTTTAGCTCTTGGATTAGGCCGGCTCGGGTAATAATGCATTGGGGAAGGAGGAAAGGAGTGTAGAGCAGGAGTGTTTTGCACGGAGTTGTATTTTAAAAGTCCATATTGCCACCGTTGGGAAATAGTACTTTTTATTAGTTGGCCAGTTGACTATAAAATTTTGTACAATAGCAGGTGGACTTCAAACGGCTTTTCTGCATTGAGTAGACTGTTAATCTTTAAGGGTTTGCTGTCAGCGTCACAAATGTGTGACGGCACGATTTCATCATCTGAATCAAATGTGTATTCGATTTAAGTAACTTTAAAGAAGAGTCAGTTTAGGCTCAAATTAACTTAAAAATTGGATTTCGTAATGTGACACTAGAGGTAATAGATACTGAGGTTTTGTAAGTCATGAATAGAAAATCCCACTTCTAATTTAAATTAAAAGTAACTTCGTCCTCAAAATTTTTTTAAAATATGACTTAGGTCAATTGTGGAAGGGGAGCTCGCTTACTCTGTTACTACTTTTTCGTCTTTTTGCGAAACTGCCCGAGTTTATAGCGGAGTGGAGTACACAAACCTTACCTCCCTTGGAGGTTTTCACTCAATCTCTTCAGCTTGCTCTGCATCACTCTTCTTTCTGGCACAACAAAATTTCTCCTTCGCCATCTCAGGAATGGCGCCACTTTGATTTCCTCCGTCGGCAATGTCTTTTTTTACCACGATCTGACGCCAGTTAATTTTTCGACTACCACCAACCTCCACCCGCCTCCCCCTCTCCCACTCCAAAGCTGAAAACTGCTTAAAACCTACAAATGGGTTCGAAAATTCACTTCTCTTGGATGTACCTTCATTTCAAGCCTCCTTGATTATATGCTTTTCGTGTTTTAAAGATGAAAACTCATGTTGTTCGAAGCCCGAAAAACGGTCTCCCTTACGGCCGGTGAGACACTGAAGTGATCGGTGGGGGGTTAAAAAAACTCGCCTGTCAGACACAGGGTGATTGGGCAAAAAAAGAACTAAAAATACCTCCCCGCTACCCGACACAAACCAGCGTTTTAAAAATCATCTTTAATTTCTAAGCTCGTGCCTGTGCGTCCATTGATTGAGGGGCGACCAACCAATGGGAGGGAAGGAAATGCCACAATAACCAATCGTCAGACAATCTAGTCTCTCATTTCCTCTGTCTTCTGCTTCTGTGTATTGTAAACATAGAGCAGAGAAAAGAAAAACAGCCTCATCACGTTACAGTCAGGGAACAATTTCGATACTCCACTTTCTCGTGCTCACGAGCTAGCATGCACCTCTGGGAGTGCGGGTAACTCCAATTTTACTGGAAGGCAAATTTAAATCACAACCCTCAATCTTCAAATCGCGCGCTTCTCTGACCCTAGAGCTCATGACTGTACTACTAAAAAGCTACCACTTTGGGGTGAAATCTAATTTAAAATTTGTTTTCACTCTACACCTTATTATTGAGCTTGAGTGGATGACTGTGCCACTTTTGTATCCACTAAAAATTCAAATGAATTCCAGAATGTAAATAATCCAAAATCATGCATATGGAATGGAAGCAGAAGAAACATATTTTGCTTCAGTAGCAAAAACGAATGATGGTATCGCTTGTATATGTTTTTGTAACAAACAGTTTAGAAGTTCAGTGGTGGTGATTGTATGCCCTAGGGAAAGAGGGATGGAGTCAGATTGCCAGATGTTATCAAGCAGTCTCTTCATTTGTTTCTGTAAAATCGGAGATTATAAGTAGAATTCCATGTTACTGCAGAGGTTAGTTTTTGTTACGGATGGAAGGGTTAAAGATCTTAATCATATTGTTAGGAAATCCAGAAAGCAAGAAGAATGGCATTGAAGCCTAAAGTGAATTCACACGGAAGTCATTCAGTAGCAGAGTTATTGATAACCAAAATAAAATGCAAGTGATCTAATACTTTTAGCTTTGACCTAGAACCCCAAGGCTTCCTTAAAGAAGAAAGAAGACATAATACGGGGACAGAAGTAGATAATGCAGGCCAGCGGAAGGGATAGACGTTACTGGCACTTCCCGAAGGTCAGGCCACCTGACGGAGGCACCATGGAGGAGCTCCTAAGGGGCTCGTTGTCAAAACACATACTTTAACCATTAAATAACATATTACATAGCTTCTCTCCCCTTAAAGTGCCATCCTTGGCGCTCCTCGTGGTCAACCTTTTGCGTCAGCCATCACAACGTAATCGACACTGTAAGAAACACACTCACAAACCAACCATGCCAGCCATCGAAATTCCATGCAGCTGAGGACATACTTGACCGCAACGCCACTTATCCCACTTGACCATTCAATTGGGACTGAATTTTCATCTTGCATGGGAAATGTATTGAGGGACTGGGAAACGTGCTGACCATCACGTGTTTCCATCCCCAGTCGAGGGTAAACTGGCTTACAAGCAGAGTTATGTAAAAAAGACCAATGTTTAACATAGCATCTTGACAACAGAGTTTTGCTTCTATTCCTCCATGCTTCTTGACTCTCATTTTAGAGCTGTCCAGACATATCATCTGGGTTCCAGTCAATTTGTAGAGAAGTGGAGAAGGTATCGCGAGACCCTTTATGGGGGAATGGCAGACAGCTCCGTAACGAACTAATCGAGACAATTCGCGGTTACTGTTGCCTCAGTTATCAATAGCGATTAGACAGAAGACGGGACTGAGGTAGTTGCCGGTGGCAGACTTCATTTTCAACCTTTCTGATTGGGGTTGGCACCGATTATCCCACCCTCCCAGCTAAGATTTATTACTTAACAGTAGAAACATGGGCGGTTATCCTTTAAGACAAGGTTCGCTCTTCGCTACCACCAATGTAGTGCCATAAGGATTCCCTGAAGACGAAGGAATACACAAAACTCGGGCAGAATAAATACTGTCGCTGTGCAGAAGAGTTAGGTGGTTACTGGCATTGTCCGAAGGCCGGTCCACCCTGTGAAGGTACAATAGCCGAGCACCTAAGTTGTTCCGTTACCAAACCGAGAGTTCAACAAGTAACCAACGCATTACAATTGTCTTATTTTGATTTTCTTTCTACCCTGAGTGAATTGGTGGCCCTCATACTTATTTCTTTTCATGATTTGGCGTGATATGTCAAAATATGATAGCCTTTCTGCCAAACTTCACTTATGAAGACAACTGCAGGCACATGAATTATGCCTCAATGTTTGCAATTATTTTAATCTGGCTTTTCTGTACTTTTATAAAAACCCAGGTAGCTAAATCTGACATTTCTTGCAAAGTTACAGCGGTCTAATTAGCCGCCAGGAAGCAGTGGTAGGCACGCAGATCTCCTGCCGCCCCTTAATCAACTGGACTCAAATGCATTGAATGACAACATGGGAATTTGGAAAAAAAAAGTATTAGTGGACTGATGGGTGGATTGCCTTGAGTTCATGCCGGTTTGCTTCAATCTCAAATGATCTCGTAAAATCACTGGCTTTGGAAAAACGCTGGAAGAGCTGCCCATTAGGGAAGTAGGAGTCTGGACCATTAATTTTAGCACTGGTGCAGTAATTGCGATGGAGGATTATATGGCCTAAATTATCGGATGAATCCAGAAAAGAAAAAATTGTGCACGTCTTGTTGTTATCGGATATAGTTGGCCCATGAACGGGCGGAAGGACGGACGCACGTCTGTATGTGGGGGTATGTGGTTTGGGAGACTCCTCGCCCGAACCTGATCTAAGCCCTCCCATTGTAACCATCCTTTTGGCACGGTTGTATGGACGAATATCGGCACCAATTTCACATGGTTTGCAGGTGATGCGAATCGACAGAGCAACTGTCACTCCTGGCGTGGAATTGGGCTGCATGATGATACGTGAACCACAAATGCCACCCATGTCAGGTATGTAAATGTTAAATTACCGCTATGATTATGACCTTGGCAAACGGGGTTACCGCGGACCAGTTCAAGTGCTGTTTAACAAACAAAATTTGAGCACAGGCGGACTAAGAAAATGCTTCATCTGTTTAATGACTTCAAACAGACGATCTGCCAAAATTGGTT